AAACTTAGTACAAAGATGCTCTAGGACAATGTACAAACCTAATTAGTTTGGGGTAAAAATCTGTTCATATTAATTTCCTAATAAGCATAATAATTCATAATTTTTTGGTTCTAATCACATTTTAATTAAACTTGGAGACATAGATTTTCTGTTACATTGCGCAGACCTCATTAGTTTTACACTCAAATCTGGTCATATTAATTTTCTGATTTGCATAATTAGTTTTCAGCTAAGTAATTTCGAATTATATTTAATGTGTCTCCAATACTCTCAGCACATGGGAGTTCTTTCTAAGCTTTCTTTGATTTTACTGTGTAAATTATTATTGATCTTGTATGGCTGTTGATCTGGTATTTGTCGAAACCGGAAATAATTCACACGTATGGGACCATGTTTGTCGGCAGGGAAATTCTAATTCGAATGATTCTTCACTGTCGATTTTTATTATTTCTGGTTTATTTGTCACATTCTAAACAATACATTATTTCTTGTTCTTTCATTTATTTCTGTTGCATGTTTTAAATTGCCGTTTTACTGTCGCATTTCGATCTTTGTGTTAACAATTATTTGCCAGGGATATCCGGACAAACACCCACCGCTTCTTTTTGGCGATTTTCCATGTTCAGGACCCTGGGCTCTTACCAGGATAAATATGGTAATTCCTTATCTGTTGCCTATGCATGTGCAGTGAATTGTGATTCTGCCAAATACTGGCAGTGTATTTTGTAAAATACACTAAAATCAGGTTTGTTAAGAATTAGATCTCAGGCATGTGTTGGCAGATTTACTTCAAACTTGGTGGACAGATTAATAATTGTAGGTTGTTAATGCAAACTACTTTGATTTGAAAATTTGATTCACAACAGCCGATTGACCAATATTTTTTTTTCACAAATTTTATTCCAGACAGACGTGTATATCTCAACATGCATTGAGTTCAAAGTTAATACATAGATAGTACATAATGACACACATACAATAATCTCATCAAAAGCAGCTGTATGCTAAAATCAGGTATTTTGACATGTCCAGAATGAGAACTTATGTATGTGTTGTTAGATTGTGTTCAAAGGAATAATCATTACTGGAGGTTGATGCATGTCACTTTGAATTTTAAAGTCTATCAGGTCACTCAAGTACTACATCATCATATGCTATTTGCATATGTGCAAGTGTCAAAGCTATAAAATAGCAATGTAAAAAATGTTTACTATGTTAATTATACACGTATGTATAATTTTTGATTAAACACAAATAAAATGTGTTCTGCTTATTCTATGAGTCATTGTGATTATGAACAGTAATCATTAGACTAATAATTTGTGTTATGTGTTGTCATATATTTTCATGCTATGAATGTGATATCATTCATTGTTGCATGCATAACACATGTATCTCCACAGTGAAAAATACCATGTGATACAGGTTTTCACTATGTCACTCATAAAAACTACTTATATTACTCATTTTATAACACACAACAGAATTCTATATGCCTATGGTCTTTAAGATTAGATACACAATAGGGACTGTGCATTACAAAATGCTTATTTTCTAGGATACTCGTATACAATATACTGTAGAAAGCTTTCATTTCAAAGAAACAATTTTACTTGATAGTGAGAATCACAAAATGTTGTTTCTACATCATGTCTAACATAAATCATCAAATTCCGGTAACCAAAATTAAAAAATTTACCATACTAGGTCAATTTACCGTACTACTAGTAGGTCAATTTACCATACTAGGTCAATTTACCATACTAGATCAATTTACCATACTAGGTCAATTTACCATACTAGATCAATTTACCATACTAGGTCAATTTACCATACTAGGTCAATTTACCATACTACTAGTAGGTCAATTTACCATACTAGATCAATTTACCATACTAGGTCAATTTACCATACTAGATCAATTTACCATACTAGGTCAATTTACCATACTAGGTCAATTTACCATACTAGATCAATTTACCATACTAGGTCAATTTACCATACTAGATCAATTTACCATACTAGGTCAATTTACCATACTAGGTCAATTTACCATACTACTAGTAGGTCAATTTACCATACTAGATCAATTTACCATACTAGGTCAATTTACCATACTAGATCAATTTACCATACTAGGTCAATTTACCATACTAGATCAATTTACCATACTAGGTCAATTTACCATACTAGGTCAATTTACCATACTACTAGTAGGTCAATTTACCATACTAGATCAATTTACCATACTAGGTCAATTTACCATACTAGATCAATTTACCATACTAGATCAATTTACCATACTAGATCAATTTACCATACTAGGTCAATTTACCATACTAGGTCAATTTACCATACTAGGTCAATTTACCATACTACTAGTAGGTCAATTTACCATACTACTAGTAGGTCAATTTACCATACTAGGTCAATTTACCATACTAGGTCAATTTACCATACTAGATCAATTTACCATACTACTAGTAGGTCAATTTACCATACTAGGTCAATTTACCATACTACTAGTAGGTCAATTTACCATACTAGGTCAATTTACCATACTACTAGTAGGTCAATTTACCATACTAGGTCAATTTACCATACTAGGTCAATTTACCATACTACTAGTAGGTCAATTTACCATACTAGGTCAATTTACCATACTACTAGTAGGTCAATTTACCATACTAGGTCAATTTACCATACTAGGTCAATTTACCATACTAGATCAATTTACCATACTAGGTCAATTTACCATACTAGATCAATTTACCATACTAGGTCAATTTACCATACTAGATCAATTTACCATACTAGGTCAATTTACCATACTAAATCAATTTACCATACTAGGTCAATTTACCATACTAGGTCAATTTACCGTACTAGGTAAATTTACCATACTAGGTCAATTTACCATACTAGATCAATTTACCGTACTAGGTCAATTTACCATACTAGGTCAAAATCATTTATTTTCGATTGGAATTTATTTTCGTTGAAGAAATGATTCAGTGAAAATAAAAACCAGCGAATATATCTTTTTCCCTATATTTTACATTACAGTGAAAATTAATTCCAGCTAAAATAAAGTATTGTGACAGAACCCCACACCCTCCCCGTGGCTTTCGCTGCGTATGGAAGTTATTTTCATGAGTGATGCGATGTATCCTGTGGCCGTACTTTCGCGAGCGAAGCGAGTGAAAGTACAGCAGAATACACCGCATCTCGAGTATAAAAATTGAGTAAAAAATAAAAATAGTTCGGTAGCCAATAGAAATACCATGTTCATTTGCATATCGACCGTGAAAATACCGAAAACATTATTGCATGGGTGATATGCAAATTAGTTTTAGTAAAAATAAGTGACTGGCTAAAGGTACCATTACTGTTGTTCAAATTTCATTTCACTCGGCAAGTATATTCATTTACCCCAAGGGGAAAATATCGTACTTCTTAATATTGTATATTTCTGCTATGTTTCCAAAAACGGTACTCCCGAAGGGACTACTTTGTTCGCTCTCAGACCCCATTTGCATATGAGGTGTGGAAATATCGATTTTGATTTCATGGACGAATCAAAATAAACTGCAGTACATATGTAATAATCTACAGTATTTGGATTGAGAAGAAGTCACATAAATTGTGATGTTTACTTTGTATGCTCTTAGGGTCATCTTTGTTATAAAGGAACAATTTCATAATGCAGGGATTTTACCAAGCAACTTAACTTTGTATTAGTTCAGACACGGAAAGTCTGATCCAAGTTTTACATCTTCTTTTAGCATATTAAGGATTTTATGCATACAATCTCAGCTTACATATGTACATCTACTAGAGCAAATGAAATCTTAGTGATTGCTGAAGCACAAAAAATATTCTCATTGAATATGCCAAATTGTTATTTGAGTTGATAAGATTTTTGGGTTCAAATCCACCCAATTCATTGGTAATAAAAGAGACAGGCAATCTGTAGGAGCCCTAAAAAAGAAGTATGATGTTATAGAAATAAATATGTAGAACAAGTCATTGTTATTGTTGTAGTTTGTATGTTCGTGGACAAAATGAAGCAGGATGTCATAAAAAATTCATAAAAACCAAAAAAAAGCAAATAAATCTATTATGTCTTGTCTTTGTACCAAATATATATAACAAACCTGTAGGTCAAGAATGCCATTAACCAATCAGAATTCTGTGTGGTTATACCAAAAGTTTCTGAATTATTTGTCACATATTGTAAATTCATTATTGTTCGTTGCAGTATGATCCATTGATTTCATTCCACAACCTATTTTGTAAAGAGGTAAAAATAGTTTTAACAGATTTCATGATGACAGTAAACAAACAGATGAAATGTATTTTAACCCATTCGTTCAATAAATCTTTTCTATGGTGCTTTTGTCATGAAACAAACAAGTGATTGTGTTTTGACAAATATTGTTTTGTATGTACACAAGAAAAGAATTTAGCATATTTTATACACAGAAAGGAGTCTTGTCATATTTTAAATTACTTTAGCCCAGTACTTCTGTATCACTTTACTATCAAAAGTCAGGGCTATCAATTGTTTTATCTTTTCTCAAAATAGTAGTTATTATAGAAAGGATTGCTCAGTGGGTGGCATCTAGCTAGTTTGAGAATGAGGAGTTGATGGAAATTGATGACAATTTTCAGTTAAATGTGAATTGTGTTAATCTCACATTCTAGTGTGTGTGTTTATTTACAGATGGTACCATGGTAAACTGGACAGAGCCACCGCAGAAGAAAGATTGTCAGTTACATGTAGAATTGGTAGTTATCTTATCCGGCAAAGTGACCGCCATCATAGTTCATATGTCTTATCGTATTTAGGCAACACAGGAATACACCATTTCAAGTAAGTCAACTATTTGTGAGGTCAATCAAGGCATTACAACCATGTTTGTCATTTTAATTTAAGAAAGAAGCCTACTCATACATGTACATAAATGCAATACCCAGAATTTATTTATTTTGCAATGAATTGTACTCCCGGGCAATATAAGTATATTGAATTTAAAAAATTGAGGTCACCAGCCTAATTCTTAGGAAAATGATGATTGTATTTTAGTGGATAGTGTCCATTTTGGCAGTATTATAGTGGATAGTGTCCATTTTGGCAGTATTATAGTGGATAGTGTCCATTTTGGCAGTATTATAGTGCTTTTACCATAAGTTTTTATGGCACAAATATTATGCAATATCTCAAATTGGGACAGGCTGGTGACAGGCTGAACATATTGTGACTGATGGAGTAGTATTTGTTTTCTCAATTATTTCAAAAATCTGGGAATTAAATTAAGTCAATTTTTCCTGAACACTGTGTTCTATGGAATTGTACTTAAAATAGTGAATTTTTTAAAAATATCGGGAAAAGTTTCTCAAAATACATGACTGTAACACAAAAAGCAATGTTATTTGATAGTGCCATGGTAGTAGAATTCTGTCTTGCATCATTGATGGGTGCATATTAGTCGTCAAATAAATAGTAACACTGCATTTACACTACTTCAAACCACCTCAATTTGTTGTGACTTGTAAAACTCAATTGGCTTCCTTACTCTAACTATCTGACCAATCATGCAACCTTATTAGCTCCCACCTGGACAAAATCCTGGAGGGGGCTTGTAGTTTCGCCTTCGTCAGTCCGTCCGGAGTGATTTTTTACCTTGCCCGTACCATCAAAGATGGAAGGGAAAGGTATATTAAGGGAAAAATTGTGTCCGGCGTCGTTGTCGTCGTCGTTAATAATTGTTATTGTGTGCATGATAACTTTACTAATTCTATTCCAAACTTCATCAAACTTGGTCACCTTGTTCATCAGTATAAAGTCTTCCCTGAGTTTGAACAACAGATGTCCTGTATGAACAGATCATGCAAAAATTGAGAAAAAATGATAAAATATTTTGACTGTTTCTACTTGACTGATCACTGGTGATAC